TAGGGTACCATCAAGTCAGAACTGACCCATAGCTGACCCTTTCATGGGTTTTTAGAAGCAGTTAATTGCATGGGAGGAGACTTCCCATCCTTCTCTCACAGAACAGCTGGGTTTCAAACTAAGTGCCTTCAGGATTACAGTGCAGTTCTTTACCACTAGGCCATGAGAGCTCTCTAAATATTTTCTTTTTGTTGTTGTGTACCTTAAAGTTGGAACCAACCCATAGCTGACCCTCCAGTGCGTTTTCAGAGGCAGTTAATCACACTAGAGGAGATTGCCCAGCCTTCTCCCACAGAGTTGTTGCTGGATTTGAACTGCATGCCTCCGGGGTTGCAGTGCAATTTCTTACCACTAGGCCACCAAAGCTCCCTATTTATATTAGATGTAGGTATTCATTTATATTTAGGGGATTCTGGTGGGATAGGCCATAGGCAGTTTCACTGTTAATCCAAAATTCACCCCTCTCTGCGTAGGTAGAAGTAAGACTTAGCCTTGCCCATGTTACCATTTCTCCTTTCACAAATAGTGTTAGAGGGAGTGGAATTTGTTGCTCCATACACATAGAAATATGGTTTGGTTTTGTAAATATGGAGCTTGGAAGGTATAGTTGAAACTGTTAGTATTTGTTTCTACAAAGTAAGGGAGAAAACCTAAAAGGTTACTTTTGCTGCTACTAAGATAAAAAGAAAGTTGATAGGCTGCTTTATGGCCTGAAACTATAAGGTCTGAAGATGAATTAAGGTGAAACTGAAAGTTCCTTTAAAAGTCTATGTGTGATGCTTTTCCTCCTTGATATACAATATCAAGATATGTTGTAAAAAATTACTAATGTTTTTGTTGATTTAATGCTAAGACATATTGAAAAAGAATGATTAAGGTTTTTATTGATTTAATGTTAAGATATATTACAAAAATTTATTAAAGTTTTTGTTGATTTAACTATATTAGATTTTGTTATCTTGAGATGTAGATTTGAAATATATGATATACTTAATGGATATTGATAAAGCAATGTTAATGAATACTGGATGTCATATTATAGGACATATTGTAATTTAGAGGAAAAATGTAAGGCAGTTGAATACTAATTGGATGTTCAAAAGGGGAAAATTTGCCCTAAAAGGATCCTTATAGTAAATAGTAGAATTTGCTACTGAATATGGAGCTTAACCTAAGAAGGATTAAGCTCCACCTAGTACTCTGAAGAACAGACTTCTGAAAGAAGACAAATAGAAAAGTAGAGACTTTGCCAATGAACCAAGGCAAGCTAATGTGGGTGCTTTCCTCATGATGACCACCTGTGTCCACATAACAAGTGGAAGTGGGAGATAGGCAGTAATTAAGAGACAAGCTGGATTTGGACTTGTTCCCTCAGCACTGTTCACCTAGCATAATGAACGGATACATAAAGAAGGGTATACTGGTTTTTGGAGCAGGGAGTCCTGAAGATCCCTCATGTGTTGATTCAGTCTATGAGGAGTTAAGTTTGAGTGAAAGACCCACCAGTCTGAAACACAGTGAGAAGGGTGGACTCCTAAGTTTACAGTTGATGTCCACTTGGACCTAGCCATGGATAGCTGGAAATGTATTGAGTAGAATCCAACCAGATGAAGAGAAGATGGTTCATTCTGTAAGATCATGTTTATCACTGTTACCTGAAGATTTGCTCTAAACTGGACCTTTGTTTATAGATGCAGATGTTCAAAGTTTCAACTGTAATAAAAGGTTCCTCAGAGAAAAAGACATCTTTGTTTCATCAGAGTACTGGTTTGACAGGACTAGGCAAATCAGAAATTGATTCTCTAAAATGGGAGGATTAAGACTTAAGGAGTAAAACAGCTGATTTACATACATCCATGAATATAGATGATCATAAAGGGAAGATTGATCCTTCAGATAATAAGAGATAATGGCTAGGAAAGCCAGAGGGTGGTTTGGGGGAATCAGAACCTTGATAATGGAATTTTGTAGCCATGAGTTAGTATACAGTTACCTTAACTGTGGGCCTATGGTCTTACAAATGATCAATAGCTGTGGGACCAATATAAGGGAGTTATTTCCGCACTGTAAGAGAAAGTGGTGACATTGGTGAAAAGAGAGTAAAGACTGTGGCAAGGTGTATCATAAAATCTCTGGAGATAAAAGCCACAGTTAAAGGTTTTGCTTGTTAAGTGATTGAAGGGGAAACTGACTTGTAACTGCTTTGAGACAAGGTTTGCTGGACTAATTGAAGAAATCCAAGGCTTCTTGTGTTCGTGCAGCTGAGCTGAATGTGGACTTTCACAAATTAATTAATCTGGCTTAGGACTGTTTGTCTAAACCCGGATTTGCATTGTATGATATTCTTTGTCTCCTTAACTCTCCAACCTATTTCCCTAAAAGTCCCCACAACTGTTAGTGAAATCTGTGATTCTTGTAACAAACATGAGGCCAACGATTGGTAGAAAAAGGTGCAAGAGCATAAGGATGGCATATCTGACTTTGTGACTATTTTGGTACTGTGGATATCATTGATAGTGACAGTTCCCCTTTATGAAGTGGGTGGAACTCAAACTCAGCCTTTCCATATTAACACTGCTCCTTTCACAATTGACAGCTTCAATCTTTTCTATATCATGATGTTTTCTTTTGGCCCAGAGGTGAGGATTTTTTTTTCTTGATGTTGAGATGTAGTCTGTATTGAAGGGTGTAGTCTTTAATCTTCTTTAATAAGTGCTTCAAGTCTTTTTCACTTTCTACAGGCAAGCTTTCAATATCTATATAAGATACAGAGATAGATATATTTTAAAAGTTCTCTCACTCATAGAGAAAGGAGAGAAAGCTATCTTGGGCATACTTTTGCAACTATTTATCCAAATAGTATAGTAACTTTTCACAGAACCAAAAGAGGAATCTAACATACCCAGTAACTAATGTAGCATTATGTGCACATTTGTTTCTAAATGTAGTCATCATAATCAATATAGTTGCTACCATATGTGACGCTTCAGAACACAGTGATTAAGAGCACAGGGTTTTTTGAGACAAACACAACCAACTCACTTTCCAACTTGGCAGTGCCCCAGTGTCTGACTCTGAGTAACCTATTTCTGTTTTTCATTTGTAAAATGGGGTTAAGATTACTATTTCATGGGAGTGTTAAACCAGATATGGTTTCAAGGTACACATATATTAGGCATAAAACAAATGCTCTATCCCTACTGTTGTTGTTATTAGATCATAAGCTCTTTAAATTGTTATGAATATGTTTCACATCAGTAATATACTGTACTTAGTCATCATCTCTTGTTTCCTGCAAACACAAAAACATTTAGTAATACACTTCTAAAAATGATGCTGCATTTTACACATGGCTGAAATGCTGACAAACTGCATTAAAAGAAAATGTTCTAGCATGCGGTAACTTCATGTATCAAGAAGGAAAGGCCAATAAAAATCCATTTGCACAAATTCTTTGTATCATCTGTGAAAGAGCAAATACCAATGACCATACTATTTTTAATGTATGTGTGAGATAGAGAGCCTTTATAATTTAAAAAAAAAAATCCTTATTTCTTTTCAACTACTAAGATAAAACTAGTAGAAAAGCTTTATGATAGTATTGTATAACACATGCATTTCGACTCAAGGATCAACTTAAGAAGTGTGACATATTTGAAATGAAGAGTGTAGAATCATAAATCAAGCAAGAATAGCAGAGTGGCATACAAAATAGACTATTTCTCATTAAACTAGTTGTGGTTGTTGTTGTTGATTGCCGTCAAGCCGAGCATGACTCATAGCAACCTTAGGAACAAAAGGCCTGACACCATTCTATAACTATCGACATTTATCAGAGTTCATAGAATTTCCAGAGGCATGTTGTTGAGGAAGTGGATGCCTCTACTGAAAATCAGAGACCTAAAGGTCAACATGTACTCTAAAGTAAAGATGAAAAGATGATGAGGCAGAGATCCTAGAGCACTAGAAATGCAGCAACAAAAATATAACTAAAGAGAATGGTGATAAACTCTGAAAATGTAACTAATGTCAGTGGACAATTTGTGTGGGAATTTTCAAATGAAGACCCAAGTTGCTAGGTCTAGTGATAAATTATAGCTAAAAGTGCAGTAAAATATAATTTAAGCATAAAAATAAGTAAAGCAAGGAAGAAACTGCTAAGCACATGGACAGCCATCTTTCCCAACTTGTCAGACCCTCAAGCTAATTTAAATTCTAAGAAATGACCTAGCATATGGCATAAAAAGAGTCCTGTGGTGGGGAAGTCTGTGGTGAGTTGTGCAGCTAGTGGAGTGGTGGCACCTCTTTTTGGAGGTTAGAACTCACCAGTGGCTCCCTAGGAGAAAGGTAATCTTCTTCTTTGTGATTTGTAGCCTCAGAAAACCTGCTGGAGGGTGAGCTATGAGTTAGTTCTGACTCATTGGGAAGGAGAATTTTGAGAATGACAAAGAATGCTAAAGATACACTGTTATAACAGGTTATACTTTTATTTTATTTTTAAATGCTCCTTAGGCATTTTTATGTGGAAAACATCTGAAAAACCATCTTTTTAAGATTATAAAATGGAATTGCAAATAAGTAACACACAAAGAAGTACAAACTTGTAAATCTTGAAGTGCCAGCTAATTGTAAGAAGGTCACTGAAGATTCCAAACTTGATACTGTTTCTGTTAAATATATCAAGACTAACTCATAAATATCATATGTAAGACATCTTTTAGAACTCTGACTTAATATTTCTTGAAGACTTCTGTTGCTATTATGTACTGTTGAGTCAGACTTAACTCATAGCAGACCCTTCAACAGGTTTTCAGAGGCTGTAAACCTCAGGGGAGGAGATTGCCCCTCTTTCTCCCCCAGAGTAGCTGGTGAATTCAAACTCTGTGCCTTTGGGTTGGCATCATAGCTTGTTATCACTAGGCCAATAGGACTCCCTCTAGAGGATAGAATGTTGATTTAAAGTGTTTCTATAGCATATGTAAATAATCTGCTTTTACTAGGAAAAGAAGAACAGTATTGAATTATTTGTGTCTCCTGTAAACCGAAAAACTGGAAATTCCGAAGCATTGCCATCTGAAGAAGTCCTGCGTTCTCTTAATATTGATGTTTTGCATCAAAGTTTATCCCAATTTGGAATTACAGACATCTCCCCTGAGGTATGTTATGGCATATTTTATTTAAAGTTTGCACAGTTAGCATGATATGATCAGCTAATACAAGGGGGGATTGAAATTCATTATTATAATGTTGCTTGATAATAAAAATCTCCCCAAGGGTCAGAATCCTTTGATCTGCACATTGTATTGTTTATCCCTTAAGGAAATTAATTCTCACATCCAAGTTTCACTTTCTGGAACTTTATTTAGGAAAATTCAGTCTCACACTGAAGTTTCACTTTTTTACGCTGTCTTCTCTAAATCTTTAATGGCTATAGGATCCCTTGATTTATCCAGGCAAGTGTCTGGAAGGAAGTTCATTTAGATAAATTTGTTGATTGGTATTTAATACTAATGGGTCAAAAGAACCAAAAAGACTCTCAAACCTGTCTTCCTATACAGAGGTCCTCACTTTGAAGAGTCGATATTCCTCTGTCCCTAATTAAAGCATCACTGATGGCTCCATGATTAAGCACTTTGCTGCTTATTGTAATGTTGAAAGGTTGAACTCATCCAGTGGCTAAACTGGGGAAACACCTGATAATTTGCTCTTGTGCAGACAGATTAATCCAAAGCAAATGCCTGTGCCTAAGAAACCCTGTGAGGCTGTCCTACTTTGTCATACAGGGTTCCTATGACTTGGAGAAGGCGCAGAGTGCTCCTTGGAGGTACAGATGCTAAAACTTTATCTCCCACACTTTGGGCTAGGAGAGGCTATTCCTTGGGGAAGGAGATCATGCTTGGGAAGGTGCAGGATTGACAAAAGGGATGAAGACCTCCAACCAGATGGACTGACAAAGTAACTGCAGTGAGGGGCTCAAGTGTGTCAGACATTGTGACAATAGCACAGGATAGGGCAGGGTTCAGATCTACTGTTCTTGGAGTCGCTGAGTTGTACCCAAATCGAGAGCACCTAACAACAAGAAGCTGAAAATCAGTTTGACAGTACCTGGGAAATACTACAACATCCATAACCTTTTAGTTCATTTCCTTTGTGATTTTCTTCTGAAAACCAAAACCTTAAGAACTCACAGATATTTTCATCATAGCATTTTCCAAATTTTCATATTTTCCTGGCCACTTCCACCATCTCATTTCTTTATAAGTACCAGCCCCTTTCTATTCCTGCCTCATGTCATTCTAACCAACTCCTAGAATGAGCCTTCTCTATCTACATATGTAATCAAATTCATAGTCACAGAACTAAAACTTGAAAAAACATGTGGAAACATCTATAGATACAAAAATCAAGTTCCTTTATCAAGGCGAAAAATCAAATGAGGGATAAAGGGAAATAAAAATCTAAATCTCTTAATCTATTCCTTTCACCCACCCACCCATTCCTTTTTCCCATACGTCAATCCTTATTTCAGCACACATCACAGATACATTATGAAAGGCTTTGGTACAAGAGTTGAGTTTCAACAGTACCACTAGGATTCAAGTCAGTATTTGACTGAGGGCAGATCATTTCACCTCTGTCAACCACTGGGTGGGGGAGAAGGATCGACACCCTTCTCCTGTGCAATCAACTGCCTCTCAAAACCCTCTGGAAGGTTGGCTATGGGTTGTTTCCAACTCAACAGCACACAACACCACCCCCCATGGTGAGCTTCAATTTACTCATACAAAGAAGAGTGTAGACTTTGTCTTAAATATTTAAAATGTAAACCATTTTAATATATGTTAATCCTTGTATAAAATCAAGCAAATGTAATTTGAAAGCGGGGTCTGTTGGAGAATGTACATTTTTATGGAATCATGACTGTATTATTGTATCTTTCTGAATTTAGTTTGGCACCTACTCCTCTTCCCCTCAGGTCTAATATGTTTCCTTTCTTGCCACCACAGTAGTCTTTCTTAAAACAAATCTGGATATGTATGCCCTCCTACTTTCATGATTTTTCTTTAGCTTCCTAAATATTATAGAAGAAAGCCTGGGTTGCTAAGTATGATATATGATGCTCTGTGCCCTGGGATTTAAATCTTTGTACAGCACTCTCCTAATTTATGCCTTAGCAATCCCCACTTAATGGATTCCTGAATTACCATATAAAAAAGACAATAATGTTAAGCACTGAACTACTGACCAAAAGGTTAGTGGTTCAAATCCACCCAGTAGCTCCATGAAAGAAAGAATTGGAGTCCTGTGCCAGTAAAGACTATAGCTTAGGAAACCTTATGTAGCCATTATATTCTGTCACATAGGATCAGTGTGAGTCAAAGAGACTTGAAAGTACACAACTATAACTAACACAACTCGGCCCTAGGAAGATGAGGTGTGTAGCTGAGCCCTCATTGCAGAGCTGTTAGTTCATACAGATAGCCATATTGAGAGTGTACTTGAATAACAAAAATATCTTTTATTTCCACCTGGGAATGCATCACAGGAGGTCAGAAACTGTCTGAACTGATTATAGAAAGTATTTCATCAAGTGCAGATAGACTGTTAGAGATTTTTTTCTTTTTCATATACTCTTAGAACAATCCAGGCATTACCCTTCAACCAGAGGCTCTGAACACAAAAACAAGAAAAAAAATTGAAGATAGCACTGTGCAATTCTACAAGGAGATGCCTCCCAAGTTCAGGGATTGGTAAGGAAGATCAAACTGGTGCCTTTGAATTGTTGTGCTGGCAAAGAGTATTTAATCTACTACTAGAAGAACAAAGCAAACTATGCTGGAGGAAGTGCAGCCAGATTGCCCCTTAGTGGCTGGCAAGGATGGTGAGACTGTCTCACATACTTTGAGCCAGTTGTTAGGATAGGTCAGTCCCTGAAAAAGGTGGGAAGTCAGAGAAGGAGAAGATATTCAATGAAATGGATTGACATTTATTCAATGAAATGGATTGTCATTACTACAACAATGAACTTAAACACACTGGAGATTATGAAGATCATGCAGCTTTGGGCAAGGTTGGGATCTGCTGTACAGAGAGGCTGCCAAGTTGATTTGATGATAGTTGACAACAAATATATGGACCTTTCCAAATTATTGAGGAGCAATGATGTCAGTTTGAGGATTAAGGTGCAGTTGATTCAGGCCATAGTCTTTCTGATCACTTTCTGTGCATCTGAGAGCTGGTCAATGAATAAGTATGATAGAAGAAGACTTGCTGCCACTGAGCTATAGTATTGGAGAAGAGTTCTGAATATCCATGGACTGCCAAAAGAACAAATATATCTTGGAGAACATACAGCCAAAGTGCTCCTTGGGGGCGAATATAATAAAGCTTTGTTTCATATAACTTGGGCATATTGCTAGGAGAAGCTACTCCTTGGAGAGGGACATCATACTTGGAAAGGTAGAGAATTGACAAAAGGGAGAAAGACATCCAACCAGATAGTTTGACATAGTGATATTGCTTGAGTGTGTTAGAAGTTGTGATGATGGCACAGGATAGGGCAGAGTTCAGAGCTGTTGTTTGTAAGGTCACAACTCGATGACACCTAACTATAACAACAGCCAAAAATCTTGGGGGTTTTGCACTGTATCAGAAGGAATTGGTTGACACAGAAGAATTTAATGAAATAACACATGAGCAAGAGCCTATGGTGATGAAGGAGGAAGTTCAAATTGCTCTGAAGGAATTGGGAAAAAGAAGTTGATGGCATACAAACTGACATATTTCAACAAACAGACACTGCCCTGGACGTGCTCACTAAGTTGTGCCAAGAAATCTGGAGGACAGCTAGCTGGCCCACTGTCTGGAAAAGATAAATATGTGTTCCCATTCCAAAGAAGGTGACCCAACAGAGTGTGGAAATTATCGAGCAATATCATTAATATCACATGCAAGCAAGATTCTGCTGAAAATTATCCAAAAATGTTTGGAACAATATTATCAACAAAGAACTGCCAGATGTGCAGGCTGGATTTAGAAGAGGTTGTGCTTTCTCAAAAAGTTGCAAATAGAGATACCATTTGACCCAGCAATTCCACTACTGGGAATATACCCTGAAGAGACCATAGCTGACATCCAAGCAGATATATGCACACCCATGTTTATTGCAGCTTTGTTCACAATAGCAAGGAGTTGGAAACAACCTAAGTGCCCATCAACAAACGAATGGCTAGAGAAGCTGTGGTATATTCGCACAATGGAATACTATGCTGCATTAAAAAACAAGGAACTCATGCAATATTATTCAAAATGGTTGACTCTGGAGAACATTATGCTGAGTGAAATATCCCAGTCACAAAAGGACAAATATTACATGATGCCACTGTTGTAGAATGGGACTGTCCTTGGGGTTGGGGAGAGACTGAGTAAGATGGGTTCAATAATGTATACTGCACTGAAACAGAGGAGGGAGAGAACTGTCTAAAAGAGATATGTAACTGGGTATTTCTGTCATCACAGGAGACTAGAGCGAGGGCTGCATGGTGGAGGGGACCTGGGGGAGGGTTTGTAAAACAATGAAAGAATCTTTTCTTTTACTTTTCCATAATTTTTGGACTCATGTACTTATAACTTGTTAGTCAAATTTGTGTCTTCTAGGTTGCAACACCCCCATGATACATCTTGAAGGATATGTACATGTACAGCCAAGCACAATCAATAAGAGTGCATCTAAATTCCAAAATCAATCTCCATAATAGTCTATGTGTTTCCTACTGCCAAAGGGGCCCTTTAGAGTAGTGAGAGAAGATCTTCACCCTGAAACCCACAGCGTCCCTTTTCAGCAGGAAGTAGCTAAGAGAATACGCCGTCCCCTTTTCCTTATGACTCAGGGTGAAGTCTCTCTCAGGGAGGAGTGATAGGGAATGGCAAAGGATACACTGACAAAGAAGATTAATCAGAACTGGCTTTGACAAGCACTGTGGCATTTGGACAAGAACAAACTGGGAGGAGGGTAGAGAGAATAGTGCAACAATGAATGAGTGGAAGCCCAAAATCTCTGTAAATGTTTATGAAAATTAATAAAATATAATTATAGAAAAAAAAAGAAGAGGTTGTGGTACTAGGGATATTATAGCTAATGTTAGATGGATCTTGG